TTTATTTAATGTTTAGATTTGCTTTGTGCATTCTTACTGTACTTGCTTTGAGTTTTTTTGAGTTTCAGTGTTCCATCACCCTGTGTCCTTTGTATTTAAGTTCATGTGTCTGTATTCCCCATTTAGGTTTTGCACTTCCTGCTTTATTTCCTGCGTTAGTTGTTCCTTGTGCTTTGCTTTTAGATTGCGTCTTTGTCTCATCTCTTGTGATTCAGTTAAACCGTTTCTCGTTCTCCCAGCTGTCTGCACTTCCCCTAATCGCCCTTATGTGTATATGTAGTTGCTGTATTCCCTTTGTCAGAGTGTCCGTTCCTGTTCCCCTAGTGTTTCTCAGTCCCAGTGTGTGTTTCTTTATAGTTTATAGTGTTCCTCTTTTGGACTTTTGTTTGCCTTTTGGATTACTGCTAACATGCTTATAATAAACAGCTCACTTTAAGTTTATCATTGCCTACCTCCACATATTTGCACTTGGGTCCTCTACACGACAATCAGTCTGCATTTCCTCAAACTATTTAGTAACCCCTCACATTTTGGGGGGGATGAGGGCAATCTCATCTTGCAAGAGACCATCCCATTAAGATTGTAGATGTAGGGTAAAGGTGATCAAGCGGAACAACCTTGTATCAGTGTGCAGTGACCCTTTCCTTTGAAAAGAACACGTGGACACTAACTAGGCCAACAAAATAACTCCTATAGAATAACAGAGCTCATATAGTGACGAACCATTCAGGTTTTTACCCGAACACGACACACAAATAATGGTGAAATATTAGCACTAGTGTCCTTTTCTTATTCATGAGGAATTTCACCACAGTTGATAGATGGCAAATATACTTTGTAGGTGACTGGAGGACAGTTTAAAAAAAAAAAAAAATCATCATTATTATTATCACAGATTACTACTGTATGTAATCATTATCATCTGTTATTAACCAACTATGATATGTATTCTGTCAAAGATAAAAGGGAAACAATGTTAGTTTATCTACAGTTTACATCAAATAATAATATTAGATTTCCTTTGTTTTTTGGCTAAACTTTAATTGGGTTAATCAGAAAATTTCACTGAAATTCCTTCCATGATGTGACCTGAGGCATAAGTGGGCAGGCTGCATACCACATGGGCACTAATGGTCTAAGCACCAAATCTCCAGATCATTGCAGCTAGTTGGCCTACTCATTGCATCTCAGTCTTCTACATTTTCTTTCTATATTTCCTGACTCTTACTATCTTTAACAATAGAAACTTTAAAATAAAATGTAAAAAAAAAAAGCATGCACATATACAATATACAGCACTCTAGATTTCATTCATCCAGTAAAAATATATCTGTGATTTCAACTCTGTTGTTCCAGCTGTCATAACGGACTAAACCTTCCTAAGGAGCTCAGCCCTACTAATGATAACTATAAGAGGGCACAAAAACATTTGTATTACCAACATACATCATATTCTAAACTGCCATATTACACACAGTAATAAAAAGTGTTTTTTTGGCTCCCTAAATTGGCACTCAGTCATTGAACGTTTAAGAAACCCAACCGTGTCTGCACATGCACACTGTGTCTGTACATGTGTCTGTACTGCATTAAATGCCTAAACGCCACAGCATTATACACTCCCATGCTGTGCAGCTTTGCACTTGCCTCTGTTATTGCCGTGTCTGCTCTACACGGGTTGCCGTTTTTGAACTAAATGTTAAATTCCACATGTTACACGGAGGCGTGTGCAATCCTGTGATTTTGCATGCAATACCAGAGAGCACGTGAGTCAAATGCACAGCCACAGAGGTAATACAGAGACACGCAGGTACACACAAACAGTACTAGCAGGACTCCTCTTGAGCAGCATGATGTGCTTTTGCAGTTTACTGTAGCATATTTCACTGACATCCCTACTAAGTGTAGTTCCATGTAGTATTTATTATACCAAGGATACTTAAAATTGTATAGTGTTCATAGAAGCACTACATTGGAAACCCACCAATTAGTGGAATAAAGTTAAAACAGCCAAGCTGTTGCACTATGCCATAAACTGCCACCTAAAAATAACCACATCAGGGTCGTGAACATTTATTATCCAAAGCCATTAAACAATAACGTAACCACTCTGAGTGCTGTTAAAGAGGAGAGGAAATTAGTGCTGTTTTGCCTTCACAAGTGTACAATTAACCTTTTAACAACTGTTGCTCTTTAATCCTTTGAGAACAACAATATTCTGCCTTCTTTCTCTTCTCTTACAAATTGCATCCGTCTACTTTACTAGTATTATAAGAGGACGCACACAATCAGCGGCCCTGTGTTGATTAATGAGTAATTAGCCAGTGCTGACAGGCTTCAAATGCAGGTAGAATCTGACTGGCTGCTTAGGAGCAGGTCTCCTCTGCATTTCATCATGCGATGACCAGTGGCGTTGCCTGGATACTGAGTCACTTCTGCATTTGTGTGTGTGTGTGCGCGCATGTGTGTCAGACAATGCAGATTTGAACACTTAATGGCATATGCAGACACAATCATTCTCACACGACCTCTGTATAACCCAGTGAGATTAATCCAAGTTTCACTTGTAACTGCAAGAGAGCTTAAAGCCAATAAAAAAGGGGGATTTTTGGAGAAGCTGAGATTTAGGTTGAAAGGGAAATGATAAAGTGTCGATCTGACTCACTGGTGCTGTGGTTGTTTTGGGCGTGGTTGCACCAGAGCCTTTCCAGAGAGAAGAGAATGTGAAAGGACTAAATTTTAGTGGAAAATCCACAGCCTTTATCAGAGTAGCTGATCTTGACGCCCTCTCCCTCATACGCGCACTCAGAAATAAACAGATGCGCTTCATGTTTACAACAGCACTGCTATCAACATAAAAATAACAAAAGCAAAACCAGACACATGTCCTGTAAAAACAATAACAATGTGAACAAGTATAATTTGAGCTTAAAATAAAAACCTAAAACATCCCAAAATATAGATTGTTTTGTTTATGAATTATAGTAAACAGCAAACTGACGGCGATTTTTCAGTCCTTTTCTACCTTAACAAACAGCTCGCTTTTCATTTAAGCTCTAATTCGTGTACACTCACTAGGTCACATTTATCAAGAGTCAACAGTTTGTTTTTAAATCTAACAATCCAACACAAACTTATTGTAGTAGTATTTTCTATTACTGAGTCAATAATAACCATAGATGAACAGATTTTTATCAAAAGTCATGAAAGACTTTAAAAAGAACAGATTTTTCTTTTTTTCGTTTTTAGCTGAAATAAGTCTGCAGAGGTTTAGTTAGTGAAACAGTGCCACCATGTGTCAAATATTAAGAGCCAATTAATGTTAACGCCTTACTATGTTACATGCAATAGTTAACAAGAAAAATGAAAACGACAACAGTCTTACACAACTGAATCTGTTTTGTTTTTTGGTTTTTTTGGCTTACCATAATCACCACAGTATCCAAAACTCTGCTTCTCCAGTCCGAGGACATGGTTCATATCCACCTTCCTGCCTCTGTCCTAAACACTTACTCTGGTTGTCCCTTTGAGTCCCTGGGACACTGTTTTCTAAGATATCTGTTGGAGGAAGCCCCAGCCTCCTTTAGTATCAAAACAACTATCTTCTGTACGTTAATATAATAATACGCAACATGTAGATGTAGGCAGGCATAAGCGGCTGTTTTCTATATACGTGCATGAGCATTTCTGTTCACAAGCTGATTAATACTTATGGAATCTAGTCAGGCTGGATATGCAGTATTGTACCTTTTCCTCTTTGCATTCCTTGTCATTTTCTGAAAACAATGATCAGCCCATCTACTATCTATCTATCTATCTATATATCTATATCTATATATATATATCTATATCTATATCTATATCTATATCTATATATATAGATATATATATATATATCATAAAAACAGGAAGTGTATTTTCATACAACAATGCAACCAAGCTATTTTTAAAATTATGCCAAATAGATAAGAGGATACTACACAATTACTTCACTAAACCTTAAACCTGCTCTGCTGTTATGCTGTTAATGCCATTAGAGTTGAAAACAGGTGGTTTTCAGGTGAAGGCAGCTATCTGGCTAATGCATAATAAATGATCTGATACTGGAGCAGTGAGGGATAAATAACATATTAATCCACTGGCACTAAGTCTAGGGATAGAGCCAGCCGGGTGCTGTAATTATCCAGTGACTTTCAAAACAAGATAAAAGTTTTGTATCAAAGTGAAATGATACTTTGATCACAGAAGGAGTGAAATTCTAGGCCTTGAGAAGACGATGCCCACGTGGATTTATAGCCTCAATAAACTGTCGTTTTGAACAGACTCTACACAGAATAAATTTCAACAACAGAGATGTGCGATGGGGGATGCCAGCTGCATACTGGGCTTCTCATCTCGCGGTCAGTTTTAACACAACTCTCCCAAAACCTACAAACTGACACTGCACAGCACTTCAGGGAATATCAAAAAGTTATATGACAGATTTGGTTATGTAAATGAAATGAATAAACTTACACAAAATAACTCTGTTAATCCAGAATTTTACTAAATGTAATACTTTTAAAACTTTCTTAAAACATACCTTTTTCTCTCCCTCCTTGACATTCCCTCCTCGTTTCTTCTCTTTTTCACTTCTCTCTGCTCCTGTCCGCTCCTTGTCTCCTGTACCAAATAACTTCTTAGCCCACTCATCTTTCTGAACAGCCAGCCGGTGGGTGTGGGGCTGTGACAGAGGTGGAGGCTGGCTCCCTCCAGGTGGTGGCAGGTGGTCTCCGGGCACCAGCGGGGCGCGATAGCGGTCGGCTGGGATCTTATTCATCGGTGGGGGCAGGGTGCTGCAGTTGGCAGATGACCATCCGTCAGTGGATTCTGCGTAGGATTCCTGATCGCTGCTGAGGCCCTGGAGGTGGCTGTGGTGGTGCTGCTGACGCCAGTCTCTCAACACATGGACTGGTAGCCACCTCTGCGGTTCCACCCCTACTGCTCCTCCAGCCCCTCTCCATTCTCCTCCCCCAACAGCTCCTCCCCGCTTCCCTGATGAGTAGTGGTGTGGGTTGACCCCTCGTGAGTGCCTGACAGGGACATCAGGGTGAGATAAGGGGAGAGGGTGAGGAAGATCAGCCAGGTGGGGGTCATTACGATAGTGGCCATTTCTCAGCGTTGGAGGAGGTGGATGAGAAGCTGCTGCTCCCAGAGTGGGACTCCAAGCCTGCTGCGATGACGGTGGGCTGTCCCAGTGGCGCGGCCCAGAGACGTGGTTGTGATTTGGAGGACCTCCAAGGTCAACTAAAAGCACTCTGTTGCTCTTTTCCTCTGGTAAAAAGTTCCCAATCCCACTATCGCTGTTGCTACTGGTGCTGTGGTTTTGCTGGGCGTCGTTGTCTGGGTCATGGAAAGCACGGGCGCGAACCCCTTCGATGTTGTCTCCCATGTCCCGGTAAAGGACAGAAACAAACTGGAGGAGAGGCTGAGAGCTGGGTGGGAATTCCAAGCAGCCACCTGTGTCTGGGTCAGGGGTACACTCAAAGCCAAACCTCCTGGCAACACCCAGATGGACCTGAGGAAGTAAAAGTTACTGAGAGTTTGTCCTACTGTAATGCAATACAGAAAGAGTAGCTGCTAATAAATCTTTGGCTTACAACCATTGCTTCGACTAGAACAAATTACCCTAAGGTTCACCAGTAACTTATTGAGTACTTGATCACTGTGTTGTAATATTACCCATGCCATTAAAAAACAAAACAAAAAAACAGACATTCTGCAGATATTTCCTTCCCATCAGTTTAAATTGTAACGCTTACTTGGTGGTGACACAGATCTGGGTCCACAATAAACACATGACAAGAAGTCCTTAAACTCCCCTCGTCATCTCGTGCAATGTTGAAGTGCCTATCATCATGGTCGTCTGTAGCTTGCATCGTTACCAGTCCGAAGAATCGCCGGTCATCGGGACAACATGCACTGAAGGCTAGTTTTTCTGCAGGATAGGTGGCCAGGACCTGACCTCTGTCACTGCACAGACGCACACTGTCATGCATAACCTGGTAGGATATAATTAATGCATGTTACCAAACTTGATACCAGGGAAAATATGGTTAACAATAATAACACAATCACATTAAAATTAACACAAGGGGGGAAAAAAAAGAAGAAACCTTCACCTTCATGAGGACCAATGAATGAATCTTTTGCTCAGCCCGGAGGCGCCTCATGCTCCCTCTGATGGCCTGCAGACTGTCACTTTCTAGATTTGTGCCTGTGGAGGCGAGCTCAATGGAGCCCAGATAGCCGACAATCATTCCCACATTGAGGATACCCTCACTGGGCTCTAGGCCCAAGTCGCCACCATCTCCATCATCAACATCCTGCTCTTCATGGTGTTGAAGGTGGAGGTGCTGAAAGTCTGATTCTAGAAAGACCGAATCATCATTCAGAACTTGGGCCATCTCCTCTTCAGAGAGCAGGTTTGGGTTGCTCTGGGAACGTGAGGAATTCCGATATGCTGGGAATTCGGAATCAGACAGCGGACGTGGCTTTGACGAGGACGCACTTACTCCAGGTCTCTCTTTGTCTGAGCTGCTGGAGGAGTGGCTGGAGTTCTCAAAGATCATGTTAAAAATTCCTCCAGACTGCAGCTCTGCCACCACCTTCTCCGCCCGGTTGATGCCCAGCTGCTTAGTGTCCAGTTTGGGTTTGTACCAGCCTCCACGGGCTCCACAGCCTGACCTGCTGTTGTTGTTATTGTTAACACTGTTATCGTATAAACCATCCAACTCATCATCACTGGAGCATGAGTCCAGGTAGGATGCCGCCATTGTGTTGCTGCTATGGTGACGACCGCCGGCAGAGCGTTGGTGGTGTCGCCTGTGACGTTCTCCCTCAGCGATTACTAGTTTCAAAACACCAGAGCAGCGTCCGATCAGTTTGACCACATCTTCGTGTGACGCCTTGGAGACGTTGATGTCATTCACAGAGAGGATATAGTCCCCGGAGCGCAACCCCACATAGTCAGCAGGGCTCCCTTTCAGGATGCAGCTAAGGACACAAGGGCTTTGGCCTGACAGCGTAAAGCCATACCCTGTTCTCCCTCTTGCTACCTCCACAGCCCGTATACAACCCTGCTGAGACTGAGGGAAGTTCAGACCACTGCCACCGATGGGGCGCCTTTTGCATGACACATCCATTTGCCTGGACATTGTGCCAGGAAATTTTCTCTTGTCCATTTATTCAGTGAGTTTCAATTTACATTTGTCATTGTAGGTCCCTAATCTCTACTAAAGCAAGAACGCAGCGTGCCTCCAACGTCTTCTCGTCAAGCAGCCCTGGCGTCAGATTGCTACGAAAAATGAGCAGCAGTTCAAAATGCAGCAGGTGGGTGAGAACCCAAGCCTCAGCTTTGGCACCACCTTGCTAGGCCTCCCATCCTGGTGTCACCATCTTTTCTCCAGGCAGGTTACCTAAAGTACAAAAGAACAGAACCAAATCAATCATGACCGATTTAATACCCTAACATGCTTAACATGTTCTTAACATGTGGGCTTCTACACCAAATGCTCTTGGGCCCATGTAAAGTGTTCTATCAGATCACTGGAGGTTGGGAGGACACAGCCACACCTATAAAGGCTGCAGTCACCAGTTCTGTCAGGTCTACAGAGACCCAGCCCAGCACACCTGTGCGGTGCAAAAACTTCACAGCTTTCTCCTTTTTCCCCCCAAACAACTTTCGCTTTTGTTTACGTTAAATAAAAACTCAGTGTGATAAATGTGAGCACATATGTTTTAACTCTTGTTAGAAGGACACTGACATTAGCTGGGACTAGCTGACGCGTTACCGTTAGTTTAGTTAGCTGTGCATGCTAGCAGAGTTATCCCTGCTTGAACAGTGCTGTGAGTTAACACCCCAAACAGCGCGTTTATTACTTTACGCTGAGAAACGCATGCTTCTTCTCAGCTTATGGAGTTACTGTAAGTTTTCTCTTTTTTTTTTCTTGCCGTGACTCGCTGTTCAAAAGCGCATCCACCCGTGCTTAAACTGTAGTCCCGCCCCTCGATTTCCAGATCTTTGGAATGTCGGTGCGTAACCGTGGCAACGGCGGCGTACACAAACTTTCCCATCTTGTCATTGGCTACCCCAGTTGTCAATCGGATAGCGAACAGTTATGCGGACAAATTGACAAAAGTTAGATAGAGAAATCACAAATAATAAAAAAAAAAGTACTAACGGTAGACGATTCCACAGGTGTCAGAAACGCAGCGGGAGAGCGAACTCTGCAGCTGCTAGCTTGTTTAATCACGGGGAGTTTTATTGGAAGCACAGCAAATTATCTATGTCTTTATAAGCAGAAAACAGCACGAAGCGAAAACAGCTGGCTAAAGTGGTTGTTAAAAAAAAAGTAGGGATGGCTAAGTAAGAGGTGGATGCAGGTCTTTTTCATGTTCCGACAAAGATGTTTGGAGCAGACGGTTCACTCAACACGAGATTAAATTCTGACTTACTTGTCGGTGTCCGGCGGTGATGCTCCCCGAGAAGTTTCCATAGTTGCGTAGCTAAGGTTAGTTGGGTAAACTCAGGAGCGATGGGTAAACAAAAGAAAAGGCTGCACCATCTGGCGAAGTAGCCTTAAGAGGAGGAGGACTGGAGGAGAGGGAGGTGTGTTTAGAGTGGGCAGCGGAGGAGGGTGTACAGATGATTGGAGGGGGGACTTTAACAGCCGAAATGATACAGAATTAAAGTTCACCAACTTCGTAGCCATGTCATTTCATGTAACAGTGCGATCCAGTTGATTGAACTTAACCAAAACCCGCAATATTGTGCAATTTGAACTAAACCAGCCAGAAATCTGCCAAAGTGTGGAGAAGTGTGCAAAAAGCTCAACTATAACATCCAAATGCGTTCTAAACTGGAACAAGTTATAGTTCACTAAACTTAAAAAATAAAAGCTAAGGGTGTGTGTGGAGGGTGGTGCACTCAGGGTGTCTACATTACTGAATCAACTGTCTTCACAAAGGACTGTATTTTTTTTTTTTTAACCCAGAATTTATTAAATATTTAGCCTAAAAAGTATCCTGCTTATTAGTAATTCAATTTGAAGTTTAACAATGAATCCACCAATTTAAAAAAAAAAGAAAAACATGATTACACATATAAAATTATAACAGCTCTGACTGGAACAACTGGTTAAAGCACACTAGACTTACTGCTTTAATACTTTAGGCTTCATCACATCTCTATGTGGCTCCACTGATGTGCAAAAAGAAATGCTACAAGAAACCCCATCAGTTGTCAGCTACTACTCTTTCAGATGATGTGATGTAAACTTCAGCTATAAGAAGCATCTACAGTTGCTTAACACCTGTGCCATCCTGATTTCAGTGCTTCACAAACCATATGGCAGCTGCCTACTAATCCTGCTAATATCTTTTAATCAGGAACACCCATCTTAATGATGCTGTAAAATAAGAGCATGCTTTCATACAGTGTGGTCTATAAAAAGGAATTTTACTGCCTGGCTGAGAAAAGGAAATTGTACAAAATGTGATAACTTGACCGTGTAATCGGTCAGTTAGTTTTACGGTGTGGACCTTCACATGAGCACATCTCTCAGTTCCTTGTGTCCCCAGATTGGCTTGACCACTTTCTGGTTAATTGAAGTTGGCTGGCAACAGCTTGTTCTTTCTGGATAAGACGAGGACAAGGCAGAACATTTTAAACGTCTGTCACCCGACAGGTTGATCGTGTTTGAGACAGACACACAAGAGGTCCTGTGGGTACAAAGCAGCCATGATTGTAATACTGTTATTTGCAAACACATAGAGCACCTTTAGCTGGTTTACAGTCAGAGTTGTTATCTGTGACTTACAACTCTCACTCAGCAAATCAAATCTCACAGCGGGGTTACATGTTTAAATAATTTATTTCTACAACAGATCATATGCAGTGATTAATCTCTTTGAAATATTAAAATTAACAAATACACAATCTCTTCCAGTCATATTTTTTACAGGCAAATGTAAATAAAAGAGGGGGGAAAAAAAAGATGTGGACACTTCAGGTTCTTTCAAAGATCCCGCCTGAAGAAAATGTAAAGAAAAGCATTTCATTTTCAGTCTACCACCTTTAGAATCAGGATTATGGGAAGTCGTTGCTAAATTAAGCCAAGTGTCAACATACAGATCGCAATAAAGACCTTGGCAGAGGTTTCGAACCATGATTCTCAGCTTTATCCGAGAACAGTGACTACATTATTTTCTGAACGATTTATTCCTAATGTGGAACAAAATAAAGCCTTCACTGGAAGCGTTAAATCAGAGTAACAGGAACTTTGTTGACAGCCCCAAAGCCCATCTCCCCAAATCACAAAAGACCTCTGCATAATCGCATTATCCCCAGCAGGGGTCCCCTGCTCTTTTCCTTCCAGAAACTAGCTGAAAAATCTACATTTTATCAACCGCATTTTTGAGTTTTCCTTAAACGTCGAAAGTAGTGTGTAGATTAGAAAAAGACTTTTCCCATCATCTTTAATTTCTTTCTCCCCACCCCAAGAATTCGAAATGACTTTGAAAGCAGGACTCATTTAGGCTCCTTTAATCTGCTTCAGCGAGGCCTCACATTGGAATTTCAACAGCTGCAGAGGACTCTGTCATTCATTGTGTGAATACATTATTTTCTCATGATCAAAGGAAACCAGTCGCCAGCTTTAAGACTGGTGAGCGGTTACACATTTAGCATACAAATCATTGTGATGTTTACTTTTAATGTACTGCAGCACTCATTGCGTATAAAGAGAGCGTCTAACATCAACATCAAAAGAACTTTTTTTTCTCTTTGTTTTTTTTGTTTTTTTTAAGTGCCGTGTGTATTTAATATTCTGCACAAAGACAATGAATAATGAAGTATTTACTGCTCTAACTGAGACGAAACAATATTTTAAAGCTCAACAAAAAACAGACAAAGAACTCCTGCTGTGACGTGGCACCGCTATGCTACACTTCCTCATCTGTTGATTTGTCAAAGCTGCTGTTGGTCGCTAAGGTTACAAGGCTCCCTTTGGATTGTGTTGCATCTCTTCCACACAAGTCAACCGTACCCATGGAAATACAGTATTAAAGACAGAAAGAAAATAGCTGTAATGCTAAGCATGCTTTCAAGCTTTCAGTGTATAAGACAAACATATTCAGTCTTTTATCTAAGGCAAGTGTATGTACAGAGTAACAAAGCCCAGCACACTCCCAGGCAGCTCGAGGTCAAGTCTTTAATAAAACACTAGAAGCTTGCAGCTTTCCGCATTCTGACGATTATTCGCTAATTTTTCATTTTCTCCTGTGCTCGTGCGCGTTAGGACAAAAGAAAATGGCATCACATTATCTTACCGTCTAAGTCCTATCGTTTTTACAGTTCTCATTTCATCATGCACCATGGCTTTTATGTTGCTATACAATTACTTTTTACAAGATATGAAGGTGACTATTTTACGAGGACTGTAAATCACTTCCAGTCTTATTACAACAATAATATAGTCACATCTTACATCCTGAGAATTAACAAAGGTACAAGAAAAAGACAGGTGGAATCATTCAGGTGCACTGAGGAGCAAACAAGACTGCAATGAAAACCAACAAAACAACAACAACAAAAAGACTAGACAGACGTAAGCAAGGTAATACAAATCAAAAGGGAATCTTTTGCTCCCTCTGCTACTGTAGCTAAAAAAAGGAAAGAAATGAAGACAACATCACTGCAATTTTGATAATTTTGGTATTTTTCCATGCTTGACAGTTTCCGCTGTTATGTCAGTGCAGATATATGGAAATGTGGCCGAGCGCTGGTTATAAGTTAGGTACGTTTTTCCCCTCCCTTACAAACAAAATCCATGAACAACTTCTGCTGGGACAAATTAAACTGAAAAACCAATCCCCTGGGAGAAAAAAAAAAGACCCCCCAAAAAATAAACAGATGCACACAAAAAAAAAAACCATGGCTATTGGTGCTCATTCTTCCACCTAAAATATTTTTCTATTTAACTAAAGTGTGTGAATGACCACAAATAACTTAAACACATAAAGAAATGTACTCATCGACTTCAAGCAGGTGTTTCTGACTTTTACGTGTCAGCCCATTGTCAGCATCCTAACCAGACCTTAAGCACACGACTCACTGAAAAATAGATGCACTGAAACTTTAAATACTTTTCTATTTTTGTTTACTTTACTAACATCACAATACTCAATCCCCACAAGTTCCCACAGGAAAATAAACTCATCCAATTCTTTATTTGATGATCGTCATCTTCATGGGCTTTTTTCTTTACTAAATATCTCAAAAGGTGCTGAGAGGGAAGTGTTGAAGGTGCAGTCATGTCTCAAGGAATCATCTGAGGGGAGTGGGTGGGGTCGGGTGGGTGCAATCTCCACACAGATACAGAAGCTTGCTGTTCCTCGTCAGAGAATGCTCCTTTTACATTTAAACACAGCCTAATATTGAATTCAGGTTGGGGTTTTGTTTTTTCCCCTCATCCTTTTAATACTCGCTCCACTGAATTTGTTGCCGTGGGTTCAGTAGTTCTACTTATCTCATTATCATTGAAAGGGCAAAAAGGGATGAAGCTACAGTCGTTTTTTCCTAATAAAACATTCTGTTCTTACCCTTAGTCACAATTCATCCAGGAATTATAAATAGAGATCTAATTTCCCACCCTACCACACCTCACTTGAAACCACTTTTCTCCCTGTGCTTCCATGCCCTTCTCTGTCTGTTGCCCTCAGAGTGATGTATCCTGATGGACTGACTGCAGACAGCCCAGCAGCTGGTAATAAGGGCTGCCTGGCGAGGCCACAGTCTCAAATACTGACTGGAAAGCTCTGCGGTCCAGCTCCTCGTCAATCTGATGCCGGTAGAAATCCATGGCAACCAGGCAGAACAGGTTAACATCCACCACCTCACTGGAGCCCATTCGGCTGATCACGTGTGGCAGTCTGGTTAAAAGCGGGTGGGTTAAGGACAACAGATCACACTGTCTGCAAGCATCAGCTAAGTTGTGCTGCATTCACGCGTGTGTGTGTAAAATTTAGAAACATTTAACAGGTCTGTCTTGTAAGACAGTGTCAATGGGGCTACTTGTATAAGTAAAGGTAAAAAAATAAATAAATAAACACTTAAATAATTCTAGTGCTATAGTTAAATGTTTATTACACATTTAACTATAGCAGTGTTTGCAAAGATGTGATTTTTGTAAATGACCAAAAAAACAATGTCAGCTTCAGAGTCACCACACTTCACTGACCAAAACAATTTGATCTTCACAATGTTTTTGCAGAAAACAGGAGCTGGAGCTCACGTAGAGATTTTTGTTTGCATGCATTAGTCTGGACAGGACTTCACCACTTCAAATACTACTGTAACAAAACACAAAGTAATCAATCGTGGCAGCAGTAGGCAAACAACTCCTGTGTTTTGTCAGGTAAAATGACTCTGAGTATATCAGAGTTTCTGATGGTAGTGAAAATGTTCTAAATATAATTATACAATGATTATTTTATGAGGCTTAAATCTATTAAACTGCTGATCATGCTGTCATTTCTCCTATCTCCTGCCCCCAATGCAGGTAACACAACAACTGTGGATCAGAAGCTCACAAAAAGAAGCTAAACTCTAATTATTTGATCACAGTTCACAGAGTAAACTGTTTGACTAAAACATTAGAAATAATTAAAGTAAAGCGTTGTTACAAATCACTGCAACACTGAGACATCAGCTGCTGCTGCTGCTTCTACCACCACCCAGCCACTCCGGTCCAGTCTCCTGCTTGTGAGATCTTTTACGTGGTATGTAAGGATACAGTGCTGAGATCCACTGGGAGGTGGAAGCAGACACAAAGAAGCAGGAGAGGCTCCACATGGCCATGGCCACTGGTGTCCTCTGAGTGAAGTTGGACAATGACAGGAGCACCCAGTCTCGCACCATAGAAGACTGGCCTGTAGCGTGGAGTGTCTGGAAAACCTGCATATGAGAGCACAGGAATAGGAAATTTTTAAGAAGTTCTGTTACATTTCCAGCATGAAGTGGTTTTTGAAATCTGTGTCTGTAAATTACAAAGATCTGAAATAAAGAATGAGTATGCAAGAGTTATACTTTATAATGAAAGGTTAACTTTTCGATATAATGCATCCTTGACTCATTGCTCTCGCTCGAATTCAAGTGTTACTAACTGCGCTGAAATGTACCTTGATTTACATTTTTGGGAAAATAACAAGAACTCACTGTATTCGTTCCAGTGTGATGTTGTAAACAGGACAATGGGATGTGAAAAACAGCTATAGTGCAGCACTTGTGTGACCAAAGAAATAAATTAAACAACTAAAAGCCTGATGTACAAGATTTTCGTTTTTTAAAAATGTAAACATTTTGCTTGTTTTGTTGATGTGAATGTACTCGTGTTCTGCTGCTGACCTTGTAGACGACTGTCGCCATGAATTGCGGATAAGGCTGCTGATTAGACAGGAACTCTCCTATGACCTTGTTCATGACGTCCTGTGGCGGAAAGAAGTCATCCAGAAACTGTGGCAGAATCCTGGACACCACACGAGCCTCACTGGGTAAACCCTTCCTAATCCTACAAACAGGAAACACCAGAAGAAGAGCAAATCAAGACTGGAAACAAAATAAGTTACAAAAGAAAGTCAATCTGTTGCGACAATCTGATCATTTTTTAAAGTAATAAACTAACAAAAGATTTTTTTTAAAGTTTCATCTTTCCAACTACAAAAGCTATTTGTATGATGGCAGATGTGTGTGTGTGTGTGTGTGTGTGTGTGTGTCAGAGTGTAGCAGCAGTGTACCTGTCAAAGAGCACAGAGACCCTCTCCATGGCAACAATGATTGACTCGCTGTCTGGGGCCTGAGGGTCAGAATGGGCGGGGCGGCTGGCAGGACTGGCTTTCTCCTTGCCTGAAGAGAAACCAACATGACCCGCCGTGACGCCCACCGCCTCCGATACAGCAGAGTCAACCTGACCTCTAACCCCTGTCACGTCTGAACCCGACGTAAGCACAGCTGAGAAGACGAGAAGGGGGGTGGCACCGGTTGAACCAGTGGGGCAAAGGTTAGAGCGGAAGTCGGGAAACTCATATCACAAGATTCAGATCAGAATTTTGTTAATCTCAAACAGAAAATTTGTTAATTTATGGGAGCTACTTTAAGCCAAATTACATTCTTAAGTTTTTTTCTGTAAGTGACTGGTGTTTAAATGATTGGAGGGAATTTAAATGCTATGCTTCCTGGGTACTCACTGCTGTGGCCCAAATGTGCTTCAGTTTGTACATACAGCACAGAGAGATATACAAAAATTTATTGAACCAGTTTGCATTTAAAAGAGCTGGGGTTTTGTCAAGGAATTTGCTGGCTAGCCTAAGCAACAGAACTTCATATATTAGTGTATTAGCATAAAGACGAGGGCACGCTAAGAGCTGGTAGAGTTAGTAAGGTCCAGCGTAAGGGTTAGAGGTAGGTATACCAGAAGTACAGTATGTATAACATCTATTACATGCAGGAAGCAAGCGGGTGTACAAGCGTTATGTTCAAAATGAAGTACTGCCAAGTTTTAAAATGCAGTTATGCTGTAATAGAGACATAATGAATGAAATCACTAACAAAAGGTATGCTGTGATTCTTAGTGAGAATGTGTGAGTAGTGGTAGCAAGTGTAAAGAGGCCACAGGAAAAGAGCACAATGCAAAACTGCTGGTGTATTTGTAATGATTCGGTTTCAGATAAGGGATGAAGTGAACCCAGTAAACATTTTAATTACAGAATTAGCGCTGCTGTTTTGGACACTAGAAACACGTTTTCTTTCACTCTACCTGAGCTCACTATCTCAGTAATAGCACCGCCTCTTTGCTCTTTACAGTGTTAAACAGACTCTGGCTCAACGTTACACTGTGCTAGCGTCATGATCACTGCTGCTGTGTTATCAGTGCTTTTGTTTAAAACTGGGGCCTGCGTGGGCTTAATGTTGTCAGACTCTTTATTCATACGCTGCTCCTAAATATCACGTTATCAACGTCAGCACGCTACTATGCCGTGCTTTAAATGAAGCAT